AACCGATGGCCACGTTATGGGCCAACAGTTTGCCGACATTGTTGTACTTCTCATTGATAGTGAAGTCCACTCCGCGATGGATGAGCCAAGCGGTCATCTCTTTGGCGGCCCGCAGATCACCCGTGAACTCGTCGAGTGAGAGCACAAACTTGATTAATAGGTTCACTTTGATCCCAAACCGGAGCCGATGGCTGTTGTCCACAAATGTGTGCATCACTTGTAGGTCACCGATGGGGCCGTCAAAGCGGGCCAACGCCTCCATCACCAGTTGCGGCCGTTTCCCGAAGAGCTCCACAAATAGCGGTTCGTCTAACTCGCGGAACGGTTTCCGCAGACAACTGATAACGTCTTCGACCGACTCTATGTCGGACGACACGTGCGGATCAGTTGCCGATTGTCTCGTCGCCGACGGCTGTACCATCGATGGCCGCAAAATCACTTCTTCGTCCTCTTCGTCCATAGCTCTCTCTCTCTCTCTCTCTCTCTCCTAACAAATGGATGGATCAGATGAAGTGGTGAGTGATTTGTTGATAATAAGGTGTCCACTCGTGAGGACTGGTCTCTCAATGGCTAATGATATGGACTTTTGTGTCAAATCTATGTTTTGATGTCAACAATCATATGGTTTGACAAAACTTTTGTACAATTCCTTTCATATATAACGTTACGAATTTATCACTTCAAATGAGACCCTTTTATAATAGTTTATTTAAATTAATATCTGTTTTATATAAACGATTTTCCCTTTCCTTCCATATTTGGTTACGTTATATACGGATAGGAATAATGAAAACGACGAGTGTATAGATGGCGGCAAATACTGTATGCATTGTAACTGTTATTAAAGGGTTGACTCTGACTGTGAGGCCTAACAGCCAATCAGAATCGAGTGCTTGAATACAACATTCAATGCGAAAACACCAAAAAGTTTAGCCAAAAAAAGTTGAATTCATTTAATTGTGATTTAAATAGCGATTTGTGTCCACACGTGTGTTGTGTCCACCGCTTCCAGTCGTGTGATGTCTTGTGAGCGGCGATGCAAATACATGACACGCAATGCCCGCAGAAGTCGTGTCGTTCGCATCGATTTGGATGACGAGACAGACGATGACGACACGGAACAGCTCTTCGGCAAACACTGGTCGCCCACTCCGACGCCCGAAGTGTCGGCCGTTGTCTGCGGCCGACAACACCACTACCGGTGCCGACACCCGATGGTCTCCACACCCGATGGATCAGCTGTTGGCGGAAGCGGTGGTCGCGTCGGCGCTCTCTTTAAGTATAGCCAAAGTAGTAGTGGTCAACCGTTCGGGTCGTTGGACACGAATGATCTCAACTTCAGTGTCTCCACAAGTGATCTCGACTTCGAGTTTGAATTGTTCGAAGAGTTCCGCACAGAAGACACCCAAAGACAGTCACAGCAGACACAGTCCGCCGAAGCCGTGGCCGTCAAACGTATGACCACTTGTTTTGTTTATATTTGGGTTTTTTGACTGTTTTTTATTGTCATTTGTTGTTAGCATTGCCTCCAGAAGTGGTGACCATCGATGAGATCGCTGTTAAGATGATTGAAGAGTACCTGAAGAACGATGAGATGTGTTTTAGTGGATCCGCTATAAGTGGCCGACAGTCTAATAACCGATGGCCACGTTATGGGCCAACAGTTTGCCGACATTGTTGTACTTCTCATTGATAGTGAAGTCCACTCCGCGATGGATGAGCCAAGCGGTCATCTCTTTGGCGGCCCGCAGATCACCCGTGAAGTCGTTGAGTGAGAGCACAAACTTGATTAATAGGTTCACTTTGATCCCAAACCGGAGCCGATGGCTGTTGTCCACGAATGTGTGCATCACCTGTAGGTCACCGATGGGGCCGTCAAAGCGGGCCAACGCCTCCATCACCAGTTGCGGCCGTTTCCCGAAGAGCTCCACGAATAGCGGTTCGTCTAACTCGCGGTACGGTTTCCGCAGACAACTGATAACATCTTCGACCGACGATATGTGGGACGACACGTGCGGATCAGTTGCCGATTGTCTCGTCGCCGACGGCTGTACCGTCGATGGCCGCAAAATCACTTCTTCGTCCTCTTCGTCCATAGCTCTCTCTCTCTCTCCCTAACAAATGGATGGATCAGATGGAGTGGTGAGTGATTTGTTGATAATAAGGTGTCCACTCGTGAGGACTGGTCTCTCAATGGCTAATGATATGGACTTTTGTGTCAAATCTATGTTTTGATGTCAACAATCATATGGTTTAACAAAACTTTTGTACAATTACTTCAGTTAATAACGTTACGAATTTATCACTTTAAATGAGACCCTTTTATAATAGTTTATTCAACTTAATATCTGTTTTCTAAAACGATTTCCCCTTTCCATCCAGATTTGGTTACGTTATATATGGATATGTATAATGAAAACTCTGAGTGTATAGATGGCGGCAAATACTGAATGCATTGTAACTGTTATTAAAGGGTTGACTCTGACTGTGAGGCCTAACAGCCAATCAGAATCGAGTGCTTCAATACAACATTCAAAGCGAAAACACCAAAAGTTTAGCAAAAAAATACTTGAATTCATTTAATTGTGATTTAAATAGCGATTTGTGTCCACACGTGTGTTGTGTCCACCGCTTCCAGTCGTGTGATGTCTTGTGAGCGGCGATACAAATACATGACACGCAATGCCCGCAGAAGTCGAGTCGTTCGCATCGATTTGGACGAAGAGACAGACGATGACGACACGGAACAGCTCTTCGGCAAGGATTGGTCAACGACTCCGACGCCCGAAGTGTCGGCCATTGTCTGCGGCCGACAACACCACTACCGGTGCCGACACCCGATGGTCTCCACACCCGATGGATCAGCTGTTGGCGGAAGAGGTGGTCGCGTCGGCGCTCTCTTTAAGTATAGTCAAAGTGAGCCGACGAGTGGCCAAAGTAGTAGTGGTCAACCGTTCGGGTCGTTGGACACGAATGATCTCAACTTCAGTGTCTCCACAAGTGATCTCGACTTAGAGTTTGAATTGTTCGAAGAGTTCCGCACAGAAGACACCCAAAGACAGTCACAGCAGACACAGTCCGCCGAAGCCGTGGCCGTCAAACGTATGACCACTTGTTTTGTTTATATTTGGTTTTTTTGATTGTTTTGATTGTTATTTGTTGTTAGCATTGCCTCCAGAAGTGGTGACCATCGATGAGATCGCTGTTAAGATGATTGAAGAGTACCTGAAGAATGATGAGATGTGTTTTAGTGGATCCGCTATAAGTGGCCGACATTCTAAGTCAAGACCCGATAGAAATTGATTGTGATTTGATTTAAATGTGATTTTTCTTATTATTTTAATTACTATTGTTTTTTCCGTTGATTTATATGTTTTCTATTAATTTAAATGATTAGTCAATTGAATGAATGTGTGATAATTAAGACTGACTTTTAAGTTGAGTTTTATGTTTATTTTTAATTCAGTATTATTTCATTAAACGCTTTAATTTGTTATAAATTAACTGTTAATTCATGTAATTATTTGAGATTATAATTGGCTTTCATTATAACTTATTTGACAATAATTAAAGTCTCATTTAATTACGAATAAATTAAAACTTGTAAAAACTATTTGTAAAAATTTGATAAACATTAATGCAATTAAATTTCATTCATAAAATTAATATCGTTTTTGTTGGGCACGTCTTATACCATACTTTTACACAACTGGCCATTGATTTAATTAAATAATTAAAAAACATTTACAACTTGTAAAAGTTTCTATGATAAAAATGATACAAACACTACATGAATAATATTTAAAATAAATGTTCTGTCTAGGTTAACATCAATTGTACCATTCAATATGTTTGGAATTAATGTAAAACAATAACGATTAGAGATTTGGGAGGCGTTTAAGAGGGGTTTCTAACTCTTATAACTTAATCAGTGGCCCAAAAGGGGTATAACTTTATATAAATGTAGTATAAGTGGCGGCCAATAGATGTCGCTATCGTATGATCAGTCAATTGGTGTGCAAATGAATGTACAGTTCACCAAAAAAGCCCATAAGTTATGGCGTGAATGGCATTAACTGTTAAACGATAAATCTGTACCTTTTAATAGCGTATAACACATTGAGTACCATATCTCGCGTCGTATAGAAAAGGCCCGAATGTGTGCAAATCACTACACGTCTAACTGTAATCACGAGTGAAAATATGAGATATTAAATATAAACATTGAGAAAATGATTCGCAAATTGAGTGCATTTTATTAGTAAACAAATCCATTGATTAGTAAACCGTGTGTTTGAGTGACCAAAAGCGGTGTCAGTGCTATCGGGTGTGCGTTCGGCCCACACATCGCTGTCCACACCTCTGTCTCGATGTCTGTCCGCTGACCGCAAGTGTGTTGTGTTGAGCGGACACACAGTCTGTTGCGGTGGTGTTTGGCCGACACAAGCGGTGGACAACTGGACGCATACCTCTCGGCCGTAGATCTAGGGATGAGTTCGCGCGGCGGCCACAGCGCGGGTCACGTGTCGATGCCGTCGCCGTCGGGCGGCTCGTCGGTGGCGGCGGTGGTGTCGCTGACGGATCCCAAGACACTGATGGACGAGAACAACGCCTTGAAGTGTGATGTGAAGACATTCCGCCAATTGGTGTATCTCTTGAGCGAAAGACATACAGAAAGTGTGAAATATATTAAGATATTGAAGACATTGAACGGCAAACTCATGAAGAGATTGAATGAAAGCGACAACACTTTGAACCGATTGGAGGAAATCAATTGCGAGAATAATCTCTTCAAATGGGATAAACAAATCGATTCATTACATCAGCAGCTCTTCACTAATCACCACAAGAGTTCTGTCCAAAGTATGTCAACACCCCATCAGC